ACCTTAACTCATGCATGAGAATGTTATGAACGTTTTAAAGATTTTTAAAGGTTGTTTTAATTATTGAATTGTAATAAATTATAATTACTGTTTTAACCCAAATTTGAACCCATTACATACCTTTATATCACTGGAACATAATTTATTTACACCCGAATGCATTTTACACCCCAAACATAAATGAAAATCCCATATTTAAAAACTAATAACTAAGGATGATTATAAAGTGAAATAACTAAGCTTTTGGATTTAAGGATGTTTAAAAGATCTAGGCTTTTTCACGTTAATGGGAAAAATAATGGATTTCTATGTGATTGACAGAATATGATGTTTATTTGAGGCCAGGGGTAAAGTAGGATTAATTAACACTATTTTAATTTAAGCAATTGTTCATTATAATGAAGTCTCTTGGCGTTATTACCCCTGCAAAGAAAATTAGGTTTTTGTTAACAACTGTTTGTCTGTTATCTTAAAAAGCTTTTACCAGATTTTAATTAAAATTGTTTTTGGTTCTGGCCCAAAGAACAAGTAATTAATGTTTGATGGGGACTTTTAAGGGTAATTTATTAACAATACAGAAAATATAATTACCTTGATAGCTTCACAAAAGAATATTAACTAAAGGTTCCTTATTAGCTTTTTTCTAAGCTTTTGATCACAGTGTATGGTCTTCTTTTGGCTTAATGGGTCAGTTAGCACGAGGCCTTCTCAGCTGTCATTGCTGGTTGTTTTTGGTCATGTGTTGGAATGAACATGTTCATTCACTGATGAAGGCAGTGAAATATGATCAAAAGGTCTTGGAAAAAGTGTAAAAAGTGGACAGTGTTTTATGAATGTTTTGTCAAAAGAATTTTTGTTTTGAAGTTTCATTTAAACTACTTCAAATTACAGCACAAAAACCTGGCACATGATTGTAAACAAACATAAACAATTTTATTGTAGATGCATTTTTTTATACTTTTCAGGTCTCTATAAATTTTGATAATGCAGAGTCGTGGCATCAATGAGAGCTTTAATTTTATCTGTGCTCCAATTTGACTTCCTAACTTCATGTGTGCTAAACCATAACATATTTGATATCTAAATTATTACTTCTGTGTTGCAGCGCTAACTTGTAATAGTGCGAATGTTGTTGTTTTTTTTTTTTTCTTTTCTAAAAACTCTCACCTGGTGCAGTTGTAACATATCCCTAATAAGAGTTAACACCACAACATTTTATGTAATCCTCCTGCTATTTACTTCCACCAAAAGCCTCTCAGAGTCTCACCCTTCTAAATCCTCAGTAATACCAGCCTGTATTAGTAGGTGGCTCCCATGGGGGCACTGCACTGCACTACCTTGAGATATCAGTGGAGCCAGCCCTGTTTCGAAATTGATCTCTTGGTAATCTTCTCTCTCCCGTGGGTGCCCAAGCATCTTCTAGCTAAGAATGATTAAAGAGTCTGTCAACGACCACCACATTCCCCACCTCCCTCTACATTCTTGACCACTCTGTCTGGGCCCCCTCAACTCTCATCAGCAGCAATAGCATCAGTACACAGCAGCAATGACACTGCCCTGTGGCCTGCCTGTCTTCTTTCTTGTTAAGGACAGCGAAAGCCTTTAGATATGTGGATCATGTGAACAATGATGACTTTTTCCCATGAGTAACACATTCATCAGCATTGTTATTCAGATGATGAGTGTACCCCGAATGCCTCCACTGAGATATATACTGTACACTGGCAGCATCAATATGAATCAAACAATTAGTCTGTGTTGGTTTTGCTGCTGCTACAGCCATCATCATTATCATCACTTCTACTTTAACCACACAGATATTTTAGGAACGGCATAAAAAAGTGTAAAAGAGCCTGCTATAATTACTCCTATTTTTTATGCGCTATCACTCACTTCAGCAGCATTTTATTCTGCACTGTAATGTGTTAAGGTTATAACCGTGCTGAAATTAACATCTTCATCTTTAATGACTTCATCTCAGTTTCTCTTCCCTATTTATGAGAGTATCCTTTGTGCTTGACAACTGGTCAAACTATCCTCAGCAGAGGTGGAGAAATAGGAGCAGAAAGCCTAAAAAAACCTACTTAGTTTTAAGTTCCTCCCACGTTAGTTGTCCATAAATATCTATGAAAAAGTGCAAAAACTGCTTATTAAAAGTCCTTGAGTATACAGAGCAAACATTCAAATTCAGAATCTTTTTTTCAAGGGGTTCCCACCACAAAAAAAAAAAAAAAAAAAAAAAAAAAAAAAAGTATAATAATACTAGTTTTGGCATTGTACATTTCAATAAACAGACTTTTTAAAAATATTTGTTTAAAATTATGTTTGTAGACCACAGTTTTTCACCTCTCTGATCATATGACAATAACCTTTGATGTTAACATACCAGGCACCCCTCTTCCTCCACAGAGGAACTTTCTCACTTTTAGTGTACTGTATTATAAACCCTTTGTTACCCCATTTAAAATAGAAAAGGTAAGTCTTTGACCACACCTGACAGTAACATAAAAAACTGAGAGAGCATGTAGTAGAGTGGAAATGGAAGCAAAATAAACTACAAATCTCATTTCAAATTCTGAATGATCACCTGTGTGAATACCAGCTAGCTGTCAAAAATGCTCGAACACAATACTTTACCAAACCTACCATCAAAAACTGCCATAATTCAAGGGTACTTTGTACTGTATTAAACTCTGTCACTTCTTTAAATCCTATCCCCTGCTTAGAGGCCTCCACTGAGGACTTCATTAACTTCTTTAGAAGACAAAGTACTTGACATCAGAGCTAATATCACCCCTTCTACGTATGAACAGTCTGTACATGTCTTCTAAAAACACCACAGTTCTAAATTTCCTTTAACCTATAACCGTCAATGAACTTCATCATATTTTTATATGAAAACGTCCACCTACTTACTTGATGTAGTCCCAACAAAACACAGGCCTAGCATCGACAGTCATCAATAACTTTCCTTGCAACAGGCCATGTTTCATAATTTTTCAAACATGCTGTTTTTAACCCACTTCTGAAAAAGCACAATCTAGATCAGGGCTGGCCAAATCCAGGTCTCAAGGGCTGCTGCTCTGCTTTTTGTTAATCAGATATCCCTGTCCTACCCACTGCAGAGGACAGCACAATTATAATAACAGTAAGGTCTAGACCTTACTTTGTGAAATGTCTTGAGATGACTTTTGTTGTGATTTGGTGCTATACAAATAAAACTGAATTGAATTGATTTGATTTCATGTACAATTAGGGATTGTTAGTAGCATTATGAATGTGTTCACTTGTTGACCTCTAATTAAAGTGGTAATAGTAGCTAATCTGGCAAAAGTTTCAAGTCAAGTCACATTTTATACATCTGCCTCAATGGGATTTGCAATCTGTACAACATACAAAGTTCTCTGTCCTTACACCCTCAGGTAGGAAAGTCCTAAAAACCCTTTTATGGGAAAAGAAGAGAAAAACCACAGGGAAGATGGATGCTGTGTGTAAAGAATAAAGTAACACAGTAGATTTGCAGTGTGGACAATCACAGCAGCACATACTAAACTCTTTTGGACTTCGGCACTTCAATTAGCACATTAATGCTGTGTTTCTGATATTAGCCTCACCCCTCTCGACATTGCTCAGGGCATGATGGGAGACATCTAGCTTTCACCTGATCTGAGAGCTGATTGGTTTAGATGCTGGATCAACAACATGACATTTTATAGAAACATATTATTTCTTGTATGATTGCAGCAATTGTGATTTGTTGGTATTTGCACTATGAAGGCTTATTATGTTAACAGAATAAATGTGTGGTTGATGGTGACCTACAAAGAAACTGAACATAGTCAGATATAGTACATTGCATATGGTTCTCACAATTTGCAGACAGTCTGTGATAGTTCTGCTCTACAATATGAACATTACTGATTTCATTTCTGAAGTATTAAGTGACACAAAAGACTTTGGTAAGCAGGATGTGAAGATTCTCAAAATGACATCTGCACAGAGGTGAAGCAGTGGCAGACTAAATATCTGACAGAACAACAGTGGCTCTGAATGTATTTATGCAGTTTCATATCAAGCCTAGTCAGCTCAAATACAGCAGCAAACTGATGTGATGACTGCTTGGTGTGAGAAATGTAGCCCAGATACATTTTCAGGCGCAGTATTTGGGTAATAGCCTAGTATGGAGAGCAGCACATCAGCATGTTATCGCTCTCCCTGTCATATAACAGAATGCCATTAAAACAACAGCTGTTTGAACCCTGAGCTGAAAAGTGTGGTTAGATGACATTTTATTAAATCGGGACCAGGTCTAACAGGGTGTCAGTGTTTCTGTGACTTCCTGTACAGACTGAAGGCTGGTGAAAAGCCAGTCCATCTTGACTGCAGCTTTTAGTCACCGCCCCCTGCTGCCACCGCCTGCAGCAAGTGTAGCCCTGCCTTGATATGTACTGCATGTAGCCACTCCCTACCCTCCAGGCTGCAGCCAAGGGCAACAAGCAGCAGACATGCCCTCGTGACTGCATAATATCTGGTGCTTAGGGTCTAGGGTCATGTGGGACACTGACTACTTTTCAGTGCAGCATGGACAGAGCCAGGCTAAAAGCCTTGAAAAGCTGTTGCTGGACTTGACTTTTCTCCGCTGGAGAGACAGGGAGTCTGGTGGAGCTCTGACATCACTACGAGCAGAGGGAACATGAGGCCATAACCAGGTCAGTTGTCTCAGGCCCTGGGTTTTTTCCTCTTGTTTGTGTTATTAATGACATTGAAAGCTCCTGAGTACAGTGATGTCACATGGGTGCACATATTGTATATACATGTAGGTATATATATGTATGTAGGTATAAATAGCTTGATTCGTTGAAAGGATTTTAGACATTTCTAAATCTCTAAATACACATAAATGTATGTATATTTGTGTGTAGAACAAAATACCAACTCATCTTGATTTGTTTTCTTTATAGGTTGAATATTACTTCAGTAAATACAATGTATTGTTGTACAAATATCATAAGAAAATGAGAACAGTTAACAGACTTCTTTCCATTTAATAAATATGATTGTAAATGCATAAAACAATTACACGGCACAGTTGAGGTCAAACAAAAACACTAACACCTTACCATCTGTTCTTATACAAAAACTGTACAGTAATAAAACTTTTTTGTTATTATTAATATTTCTCTACAAAAATAATAATCTTGGTAAATCTGTGGGGAGGAGGAGATAGCAGAAGAGAGAGGAAGAGAGTGTAGCTCAAAGCAAAGCTAGTCTACAATTTATGCTGTTTCCCGCACCCTAACCAGAAGACCAGAGATCCCTCCTGTTAGCAAGCCTTCCTGTCTTTTTGTCTTGGATCCTCCTGTTATGACAGACCTCCTGATCTCATCGAAGTCATTTCCTGTTCCCTGGGGTTAAAGTTAGGATTAGTGCGCCACTGTTTGGGACAGTGGTTACAGGCTAAGTTATTCATTTTCTAAATCCAAAAGATGAGTTAAGTCTAACTTTACACCCTTACTTTGCCAGTCTTGAAAACAAAATCCTTAAATTTCCATAAGCATTGGGAATCCAATCATTATTCCTTTGCTATATTTCTGAGGCACTGAATTTTTGTTGCTTATTTACAAAAGTCCAACCACCAGCATGTTAAATCACCCTTGTACATCATGTAAATAAACCAGATAAATCACCTCCTAGCTGTGAACAAATTCTGTCCTGTACCCTCAAAACAAACATCTTATCATGCAGCATTAAATATAAAGTTTTTCTTAACCAGATTTATCACAACTCAGCTAAAAAAATGTTAATCACTGTAATATGCCGTAGTGAATGTCCTTGTAAATGTCATTCTTTGAGGACAACACACACCACTGTGTTATGTATGATTCATGTCAAAACACAAGCACCTACTGTGTTGTATACTGTATAAGCTCGACATCATGACACTTGCTGAACATCGTGGGGACATTAGAAAAAGGTTCACCTTCCTGCAAATTCTTATGTAGACCAACATTGTGATGCAGGGTCTATCGGGCCAGTTAGCTAACCCTGTTTCATGGCTTTCCGCTCCATTTTCAAGGGTTAGACACAAGTTGGACCCTCCCTGGCAACTGGTGTTGCTTAAACCGTTTTCCAACTGCCACAATTAACCTTCCTGTTCTCAGACCAGCTGGCTAGCTTTTAGTCCAGGCTTCCTAACACCAATGCATGTTTGTGCTTCTACTGCACAGCCTGAGCATTGCTCTTGCACAACTTCTGTGGGGCCAGAACAGATGAAAAGCGTAGGCATGCAACAAAGCAACATAGCTGTTGTATTGGCTTCCTTTTATTTCTTCATAATGCACTGCCATATCCTTCTTCTTTCTTTCTTTTTTTTATGAGGCTGGGTCTCCTTCTTTACTTCCTGTTGCTCAGGTTTTCTCTTTGCCAATCAGAATGTAGTGACACAGATGGCCAGGTTGGATAGAGGACTTGCTTCTGAGCTGGGGCAGATGGTACAATTTCAGCATGGTTTTATTTCTGACACCTGAAAGATGCAACTCCAGGCACAGCATGGATACAGAATGGTTCCTGGTGGCAGTGGAAAGACGCCATTATTGAAAATTCAAAGGAGTCACAATTCATCTCCTTTTTCCTGCTGTCTGGTGTTTTATACCTGTTTTAATATCTGCAGCCAGCATTTGAGAACACCACTCTGTGCATGTGCCAGGTGCATAGAGTGCCGACTGCCATTTGCAACCCTGTTTTATAAATCCTAGCTGCCATTGTAAAACTATATTAAAACAGGTTTAAAACACCGGAAGGAAGGGAAAAGGACAGGAATCGTGACCCATTTGGCTTTCAATAGTTGTTACGAGGGATGGAAATCAGTTACATTACACCAAATTTTAAATGTCATTTAACCAAAAAAAACATCTACCAAAAAAAACATACAACTACAAACTACTATACACAGCAGATTGGAGCTTCTGCCGACATCTACCTCCCCATTTCTCCCAGTGTGTATTTGTTCTCTCCGTATATTTTTTCACTGCAGCTAAAGACAACCAAGTTTTCTTCAGTCTTTTTTTTGACAAATCACTACAAAGCTGTTCCGCTGGATAGTTTTTGGATATAAATACCCAAATGTTTTGACCACATCCTGTTCTCCTGTTCCTTTGTTATTGGGTAATACTGCTTGGTAGTTTTTGGTGGGTCTTCATTGAAATGGAGGTCAAACGAAACAATCTATACAAAGCAACCACTGTGTATTCCATAAATTCTAAGTATCTAATCATCACTCTTCTGTAGGGCCCAGAGTTACACTCTCTTCATGTGGGTCTGCCTACTGTGACAATTTATTCAGTTACTACTGAACAGATTTAGAAAATACTATCAGAAGCTGTGCAACCACACTCCACAAAAGTAAAAACAAAATAGATCCAAAAAACTTGCCTCAGAAGATTTGAAAGGCATCAATCAGGCATTTACATCTGTTGGATTTTGCACATAAAGTGCCAGAGGGATTGAAAGCCCTCTGAACAGGCTAACCATCTGTATAGCCTGGTAGCATCTGCGCTCTAGTTCTCCTGCTCTTACAGCACAGTTTAATGAGCCATGATGAAGATGGCTGCTGCTTGAGAGTTGGTGAGGGCATTAGCCTAAATGTGTCACCAACCTTAGCCAGCCTCGAACTTGACTGGTCATATTAAGTATTCAAGAAATCAACCTCATCTTATTCTGTCCAGTAGAAGCCTCTTAATATGTGACACCCCCAGAAAGCATTCTTGCAATTCTCTTAACCTCTCTCTCAGTCTCTCTCCCTCTCACTACCACGCTCTTTGGATTCTTCCACAAAGTAGCTGTTCCTCATTCCAACTGCCACCTTAAATTTTGCAGTTATACATTGTACTTTTCTTTTTCTCCTGTCACTACCCCTTTCTTCTTCTGTACCTAAAAGGTGTAGTGTCTGGTGATATTTGGGCATCACCTAGCACCTTAGCCATCAAGGGATCTCTTATTCTGAAGCACAAAACTTTTTACAAACTGGTATGTATCATAAATAGTACAAGGAGCATTAGATTAACAGCGCAGTTTAAATTAATCCAGAAAACAAAACCCTGTTTTTTTGTTAATAAATTAAAATCAGAAAAAGATACATTTCAGTAGAAAATGTGTATTGTGCATAAATCAACTTTCCAAAAGACAGTGGACCAAAAGCTTTGAAGTATAAATCAAGAATAAATCAAATCAAATCATATCAAATCAAGTACCCTATTCATATTTTATAACTGCATTTCTGTTTAGTATGACATTTGTTATTAAAATACACAAATTTCTAACATAGACATTCATGATGTACAAAATAAATGTGTAATTCACCTCAGTAACAGACTTCATAAAGGTATATTCATATGAATAAATAATACACTACCGCTGTTAGCTTCATGGAACAGCAAACCAATCTCAGATACATAAGAATAATCAAAACACTGCTGTGTATTACATTTTTTCACTTCACTAGTTCCTGTTGGTTTTCCCTCTGGATTATGTATCTGGCTTGTATAAATAAATGAACAATTTAAAATATTTAATTTATTGGGCATAATGTTAAAATAAAATTGAAAACCTGTACACAGTTCTTTCTGGTTTGAACAGAGCACAGTATGTGTCAGCAGGGTCCAACATGCACAGGTATAAAGCTCAAAACCATTGTGTCCCAAATGGTAAAGAATATCCATGAGTGATAATCCAGTCCAGAGTTCAGACGATGTATGTGGGGAGTTCTGTGGAGAATTTCACATGTACATGAGGTTTCATACATCCTGGGGCAAAGAGGGAAGAAAATGATATAGTATCAGAGGATATTCTGAACATGAAGCAGAGTAAACTCAGAAAATTGAGTGGGTCGCACTGAAGACACTTTAAAGCTTATTTTTTCACAAAATGAGACCATTTAAAAGTAAATTATTTAATAGTCTTGCAAAATAATTGTGAAGTATTAGGCATAGCACAGACAAAAATAATCATAAAAATATGAAAACATTGATTAGATTTTAAATTGGATGAAAGAGGAGACAAAAAAGCATCTATTAGACTGAGACTGCATGCATTGTTTTCAACAGCAATCTAGTGGCCAAACTGAAAAATACAACATAAAGTTAAATGCTAATAGAAGAACTATCATGTCAGTGATATAATAATAATAATAATAAAATTTATTTATAAAGCACCTACCAACTCAAAGAGCACTAGGCGCTACTTCAAAAAATTAAAACCAAAATCATCAAAATATCAATATCAGAATAAAAATCAAATAAGTAGACATATGACAGGCACATACATTTATCGATCTATAGCATAATTCCTGTCCAGGCTGACACCCCTCAGAAAAGCTAGAATAAAGCTAAAATAAAATAGAAAGCCAAGAGGAGCCTTAGAGAGATTAAGCATAAAAAAAAAAAAGCTTGTTTAAAAAAATATGTTTTCAGTGCAGATTTAAACCAAACCAGTTCAGTTATAGAGTGTAAATCTAATGGCAGAGCGTTCCACAATACCGGGCCGTACACGGCAAAGGCCCGACCTCCCCATTTTTTATAACAGGAAGAAGGGACCACAAGGGCGAGGTGGGTGGACGACTTTAATGATCTCCAAGGCAAATATCTGGATAGAAGATCCGATAAATATGCAGGGGCAAGGCCATGCAAGGCTTTAAAGACATATAGCACAATCTTAAATTGCACTCTCCATTTCATAGATAGCCAGTGAAGGGACGCTAAGATTGGGGTAATGTGATCATATCGACGGGTGTCAGTGAGCAGCCGGGCGGCGGCATTTTGCACTAACTGCAGCCTGGATAACGATGACTCAGATAAACCGGCATAGAGGGCATTGCAGTAATCAAGCCGGGACGTCACAAAGGCGTGAATGGCTTTCTCTAAATCAGTGCAAGAAAGAAATGGTTTTACCTTCGCTAACAGTCTTAACTGATAAAAGCTCATTTTTACCACGGACTTAATCTGGCTATCAAAGTTAAAATGTGTGTCGAATATAACTCCCAGTTTCCCCACCGTATTAGAGCATGGGGGGGCACAGGTGCCTAGGTCTGACATGGTCACCACTGGGTGGGGACTAATAACAATATATTCGGTTTTAACTTCATTTAAGTAAAGGAGATTTTGAGCCAGCCAGATTTTAACATCACATATACAATTCTGTAATGCAGCAAGCGAGCTTGATTCAGGGGGTACCAAAGGCATATAAATTTGGATGTCGTCAGTGTAAATATGAAAAGAAACATTATGACTGGATATAATACTTATCTATATAACAATATGTGTGGTGGGGCTGTAACCGATATCTGTTTATCTTTCAGATGCAGTTAACCACGACTTCCTTATCTCTGTCAACAGATGCAGGCACAACTTCCTTATCTCTGTCAACAGATGCAGGGGGGTGGGATGCGTACCCACGTGGGGGCCACGTGGGACTAGGAACCAGAAGAACGATTCTGATTGGTTGGGGGCGGGACTAAGAACCGGATGAATGATTCTGATTGGCTGGGGGCGGGGCTAAGGGGCGGGACCACCTGTCAAATTAATTCTGAAGAGAAGTGGTATCTTTATTGTGTGTGATAATTATAAGTTGAGTCAAGGTTGGGCTTTTTGAGCAGTGGTCTAATTATCGCATGCTTCAGAGTCTGAGGGACTAGCCCTGAGCTGAAGCAGGAGTTGATAAAAATGACCACCCAAGGGCCAATGATGTCAATCAACTCTTTAAAAATCTTTCCAGGTAGGGGGTCCAAAGGGGACGCTGCAGATTTCAGTTGACACATACATTTCTTAAGTTGTATTATGGATATCTGTGAAAACGAAGTGAAGGTATGAGAGGGATGGGAGACAGGTAAGACATAAGAAGAAGAATGCGGGACACCCTGCCTGATGGCTCGGGACTGTTCACTAATATACATTAAAAACTCATTACAGACAATACTTGAGGTCTCAAGTGATGACTCAGTACTGTTAGTTACACAACAATACAGCAACATTTTGCTAATAATCATGGCCATAAACTGGTCATACCAGATGAAAGGTTAGTGTTAGGGTTGGCACTGGCAAAACTGCTTAGTGTATTGAAATGATGTGTTTTGAAAGTGTTTATGAATTATATTTGTTTGAGGGAGTGTTAGTTTTTCTTCTAGATTTTGCATTTGTGAAGATTAAACAGAACTTAAAACGTGAGTATGCTAATAACACAGTTGTATCACCATAGATACAACTGTCCATACACTGTCCAGTAGGGAAAAAATAAATACATAAAAATAAAAATTAAACTGTATTTTGAAATTTGCTGAGGAGTTGGGGTGACAAAATAAATGTTATGTTAGGCCACTGCACTGAAATATGAGAATATACAGACAGGTGACAATTTTTAGGAAAACACTGAATAAATGAGTGGAGACATAACTAAATGCAAATATTTCCATAAACAACACAAGGGCTGACTGAATGCTTTGATGAATATGAAAATTATATGAATGATATGACCTTAACGATCACCAGATCTTGAGACTTGAGTCTACTGTATGTCGAAGATGTACTGAAGCTGTTCGAGGGGTTTTCAAGGACAAGGTTATAACGGCTTGATTTCTGTTCATTTTTCACCCATCTGTATCCTCAGGCGATTAAATAGTAACAGTGCCAAGGAGAACAACCTGTTAATTATACTACTGAAATTTACTTTTCATTATACTCATTTTTATTTAGCTCTCTTTCATCCCTTGCCCGGACCGCTTCACATCTGAGAAACACACAACAGAAAGCAGAGGATGAGTCTCTGGAAACAAGAATGCATCAAAACAATGGAATGAAATAAGCAATGGAAGGGAAAGAAAACAAATTCCAGCAACAGATAAGAGTCAAATCAGGGCGGATATTTACCAGTGGGCCGTGAGTTAAACTCTGTGTCCAGAATCTCCAAAGAATGCACTAAGTCCCGCTGTGGTGTGGGCATGGCCTCTGTTGGATTTGCTGGACTCATCATTTCTTGTTCTTTTTCGTTCTGCATCTGCGCATAGACGTTGAGGCCTGGGATCTTCCTTGAGGAAAGATTTACAGTGAGGCAAAGGGATAAAGGCAACTGCCTAACTAAACCAAAGACAGCAAGGATACAATCAAGGGTTTATGCACCAGACTGCATTTTGACTTGTTTACTTAATTACTTTATGCCTATGCCTTCTAACAGTATTTTTATATAAGTCAGCATTTACAAAATAATACAAGTTTAAAATTCTGCCTTTGCTTGTCTGTAAATTTTAATGACCCTTTGTGCCCTTTTCCCTTGAAACTCTACCTTGGTGAGGAGACATAATTTAACATTTCAGAAAGGTCAGGTGCCTACATTCAAAGGGCTTAATATTGATAGCAGCTGAAGGCTGACTGACATTTCTTTTGCAAAGAATGACCCGACAAAAGGATTTCCACAGGATCCCCACAGATGTGTGAGGTAAAAAGCCAGTCCTCCACTGAGGAGTGCAGGGTATGCCGGCAAAGGCGTCTGACAGGCAGCAGTCAACCTTCTCTGTAGCCTTAACAGCTAGGTTTTGTTTACTAAGCTGTCAGGATGCTTCGACTCCTTTCACCACCTTCCTATCACGTATAGTGTGACGACTGTATAGACATGACATTTCCTGAGCGCTTTACCTCTTGAATTTGTAGATGACAAATACAGCTAAACCCACAACCACTACTGATAGCAGCATTAGCATGGCAGAGCCACTGTGGTTCTCGCTCGTGTCCACTAGGGGTGCTGTAGAGACAGGAAGACATGAGCAAAAGCATAAACGGCACGACAACTAACACAATTTGTATTTCCACCCAGCTGAATCACGTAATAAGCAGTGAACAGGATAACTGACACCGATGTAAGTCATAGATGAAGCATTTTAATATACAGTAGTATGGACTTCTCTTACTCTTTATCTTATAAGCCCCTTTAGGACAGTAGCAGCATCCCCAATAGGAAGAGGCACACATACTTGTAACGATGCTCACTCTCTGAATGTCTCTGTGTAGCTACATGATGGGAGCCAATCAGACACAGGGTTGGGGTTGTTAGTTGACGGGGGCAACAAAAATAATAAAATATATGCCTGACTGTTGACCGTACTGTATGCAGGTCTGCTGATAGTCTACATACTTCATTTTCTGTATCACTTGCTACAGGAAGTACAGAGTCCTTCTGGGCAGCTCTACACATAGACAACAAGCTGTGTTTATTTACCTGCTGATAGGTGTGCTGCATATACAGTAACTTGGACCCCTGGCCGCAATGTAAACTGGACCAGGTTTTGATTCAAGGCGCTGAGCAAAACCTCAGAAAGCTGTTGGGACACAGGGGGAGATGATGATTTAAATAACATTGTTTTATTTTTCAAAAAAAAGAAATGCAACTATTGAGAAAGGTCATTGCCAAGATCATCAGATCTAAATTTCATCTGTCTTTTGACTTGTCATTTATTAACTCTGTTCTGACATTTCAGAGCAAATGTGTTTGTTTTCCTGATCAATCAATCAAATGTTTAATGTCACACTGACAAATAATTGAGTCCAAATAACATTTGCCTTTGACAGTACTTCTAGAAGTGCTGTGGTGTTAATGTCTCATCAGTTTGTGAATGATTGCCAAAGCAGAGGGTGGAAAATATACATCACACAAACACACACATATATACTATATATACACTCAAAAAACAACTCATTGGATTAACTCAATTTAATTGTGGTCAGGATTTCCATCCAATAAATATATGTAGCCCCAACTCAACCTAAGTCATTTTGCCCCACAATAAATTAATTTCATCCAATTAGTTGTTTTTTTTTGAGTGTATAAATACATCTATCTATCTATCTATCTATCTATCTATGTTTTTTAAAGCTTATTTGTTGCCTGTTGCAGCTTGAAACCAGATTTATGAGAGCTGTGTTTCTGGACCAGAAAACAAAAGCACTACACAGCACTAAAATTACCCCTTATTCTGGGAGCAAATGCAGAATGCTGTGATTGTTCTCTGTGGTTTTATTGGTGGAAATGACGGTTTTGTTTTTTGGGGTTTTTTTTGCAATCACAAGTTCTTTGGTATTCTTATTTTTATTTCTTTTCCAGGTCTCTCAGATCTGAAGGGTTCCTTTTCCCAGCTGCTGTTCTGAGATCTCTCTAGTTCTAGACTCATTGCTGGCCACTTCAGAACTCTCCAACTCATTGTCTGAAACCATTTCTGGTGCTTTTTGAAGTCTGCTTTGGGTCATTGTCCTGCTGTAAGACCCATGACCTCTGATGGAGACCCAGCATACTGGGCATACATTGC